ATTGTGTGAAAACAATCATTGTTCAAAACCACAGTTTTTGTCGGAGGATATTTTTATATCCATCCTTTCAACAATAACTCTTTCTCCCAAAAGGGATTGTGTATGAAAAGGGCTCTTAATGGGCAACCGTAGGTGTGTGGAGAGCGGAGTCGTCCTTCGGTTAGAAGGTTGGCAGCTTGTCTGTCAGTGTGTATTTGGGAAAGACACAGAACCCCGAAATTGCTGCCCTGTACACTGAGGAGGAAACAGGCACCAAGAGGGAAAGGCGATGCAATTGGTGGGCCCGCTTCAGAGGTAGTAACGCCTCTTGGGTGAACTCACGTGTGGGACTATTATTGAAAAGGGACGATAGAAACCACCATAACAACTACACGCTGAAACCATTTTAGGATTATCCAAAAGGTAAAACATGCCTCTGTCTGCTGAATCCAAATGACTGTCACCAGAGAAGAAGCCCAGAATAAGCCCATGTTTGTATGTGCACAGAGACCTTGTGAGTCCTACGTGGATTCCTGCTATGGCTGCCAACCTAAACTGAGCTTTGACTCCAATCCAAAGCATTTTGCTCTGATTAAGCCTTAAGGTGCCATGTTGTTGAGGGAGAGTGGCACTTGGACACAGACAAGAAATGAACATTGAAATGGAGGAGGGTGCATGTGTGTGGTACAATTTCTAAAACCAGACCAGAATGGCTCAACGGCATTTGCACATACAGTGGACTGTGTCAGAGCAGTTGTGTAAGAGTTGTATTTTTACAGGTTGTTACGCAACAAACATACACACTGACTATCTGACCAGATGAGACTGAAGATATTAGTCTGTCATTTCAGATGGTATTCTCCTCCCCTCCTGTTATCCATATTGCCAAGGCCATCTTGGGCTGAGTACAGCCGGTGTGTGTGTGTGTGTGTGTGTGTGTGTGTGTGTTTGTGTGCGTCTGCGTGTGTAGAAAGTCTCTTGCTTCTGATAAAGATTCAGACTGAAGAAAAGGCCGGGAACTTCACCTCTTCTATCACGTGTTACCCCTCCTCACAAAGCACCTCCTTTGAGCTGGACACAGGGAGTCGGGCACGAGGAGCCGTACCGCTGCTGCCGGGCAGCATTAGTAAACCCAACACCACGAGTGGGCAGCAGAAGGGAAATGTGTGTTTGACAGCGTAGCCTCAGGCTTTGGTTCTGACCAAGCAAAAGTGCCGTAGTGTGGAATTATATCTCGTTGTTTGGCCTTGTTTTGTCAAATAGGAGGTTTTTCCTGGTTTGGCCACGTGGACCTGTATTCTGCGGTAACTGACTTCTGATTAACTCTACTGTGCATAAACTGGTTTCATGTAACCCGTTTTTGACAGTGTAACAGTCTTGAATACTTGACTTATTGTGTGTGGCTAGAAGTACCAGACCGATTAGGAGTTCAAGGCTGTGTCTAGTACATGTTTTATTGATTAAATTCCTGGTGCGGTGGGTTTCTTGTTCTTACTGTAATGTATGTGCTGAGTTCACCTTCAAACAAAGTAAAGACATTAAACGATTTGTGTTTACAGGCGTCAAGTAGGCAGAAATATTAATAGTGATTTTGTTTTTTAGTGACCTTTTGTTTGACATATTTGTCTTTTTCACATTAAAAGCCTTCACTTGGTTTTCTCGTGAAATGTATGCTGGGAGTGGGATATTATTATTATCATTATTGTGCACGAGATTTGTAAAAAATAACAAAGTAACAAACAGGTGTGAAATTCAATCCACAGACCATCAGTTAGCGAACACAATGACATCATTTTTATTAGCTGGAGCGGAATGTAAGCATAACTAATCTTTTTTTAACTGCTGTGCGTCCCATTTCTCAACGCGTCTATCTCAGGTCTCTTGTTCCTCCTCTCCCGCTCTCTGTGTTTGTGTTCCTCCCTCTAACTCGCCACTATCTCCTCTTGGTGCATCTGCGCCGAGATGATACTGTGTGTGTGTTTTGCGTTCATCGGTGGGGACGTCCTTGAGAGACACGTGATGACGCTCATGACAAAGAGGCGGCCTGGCCTAACACCTGGGCCGCATTATAGGACCAAGGACCGTGAACCAAAGCGAGGACACAGCTGCCTCCATCTTTGTTTTTATTGTGCAATCGTTGGTATGTTCCGCGTGATATAGCGGACACCGGGCGGTGATAGGTAGCGGTGGGACGTGGGGAGACGAGTCTCCTGCTAATGAGAATCCTCCGAGGTGGACTCGACCTCTCGCTTGCAGCTCATAGTCTGGGAATGCTGTTTCAATGGGAACGACACTCCTTCATCCGTCTGTCAGTACCACACTCGGTCCTTCTTCTGTCTAGTGTTGCAGGATCCGGTGTGGTATTCATGCAAACAATGTCCGGGTTGGAAGTAAAATACTGGAAGAAGAAAGACCCAGGAGAACGAAAAAGAAGCGTGAGGAGATTTGAGCGATCGTCTGAGTGAGAGACGCCCTGGAGGTCCCCCTCCCCACCCCCATATCTCCTTATTCCCAGACAACATTAAAGCACAGAAAGATTCAAAATGATCCCTGCTCTTAAATCATGAGCACTCGGCTGCACGGCCTCTAAATACAAACAAGCGGCTTGAGAGGAAAAAGCACTCAAGTCCTCTGCTGTGATCCTACGCCTGTGGTCATATAATCACAGAGCAAAGCAGCCAAAAACAGAAATACTAATCTAGGATCCCTTAACAGGTCACTGGCAAACAGCGCCTTGGCTCAGCTGTTATATTTGGGCAAAAGCTTGTTAATACGAACCCTGATATCCTTTACTTGGCAGCTTTTGTTCTCACGGCTCTTCTACAACTTAACAAAAGTCTACAGCAAGTGTCGGGAGACGTTAGCTTGCGCAGGTTTTAAGAAAAAGTGTCGGAGGCCTCGGGGGGGCTTGAAGAAGCCTTGCTTGTTCCACAATACAGTATCAAAGGGCGCATCGCAACCCCTCAGCTCCCGAATGAACTCTGCAGACCAATTTTGGTCGAGTCGACATATTCTCTGGCCGGAGTTGAAAGTGACCACGGCCTTGGACTCCATCTCAGCAATCGTAAAACACGAGGTCGAGGAAAGCGGCGGTAAGAGGGACACAGTCCAGTGGCGCTGCGGGTTCAGGCGCCAGCTTACAAGTATAATTCTTCCATGTGTGTCTCTATGAAAGGGTTGGAGATGAAAGCTTTTTCTGTGCCCTGTGCGGGTCGTCTAATGCGTTCCACACACAATGTGTCTTCATGTAAGTTAGCCCTGCAGTCTGAGCATCGGTGTTCTACAGCGCAAGAATGCCAAAAGATTGAAGGTTATGGTACTCTTTTTTTAAGGTCTAGGTAAAGGATACATTGGAGGTCGACGAGGGCCTAAAGATATTGACATAAATTCCAAAGTGTTTGTGCAGATCTGTTTATTGCCAAAGTGAACAATAACGTCCTTGGTGATTCCGACTTGGTGAAGTCGGCTGTTCTGGGGTAAATTAATTCAAATGCCCATCATGTTGTTATGAAGCAGTTTATTATTATGTTATTGGTGATGCAGGCTAGTGTGCGTCGGTGTGTGTGTAGAGCGGCAGCTTTGATGTGATTGTGTTGAGCTCTGCATCCTCGAGCAGAGTTTTACAAAGAGTTCAGTGTAGATGTGGCCCCCTGGTCTTCTCCCTGTGGGTGTAGTCGCTTAAAAATAGACACAAATCCATTCCCGTGATACACACTTGCACGTTTTTTAGTTTTTTTACGAGCACTTTGAACATAACTACAAATTTACCCTTTTCATCCACCCATCCATCCATCCATCCATCCTTTTCAAAGTTACGTAAATGCACGCTCAGAGTGGACGCACTGCAGGCCGCAGGCAGATCAAATAATCAGCGCTGCGTTCCGGACTGTAGGAAACAGGAGATTCCCTGCAGGGTGAGCGTGAGACGAGCGGCCTAACTAGTGTATCATTGTGATACCAGCTCGTGGCCCTTCTCTTGGCACGGCAACTCCAAGATGGGAGTCAAATTCAAGTTGACTTTGAGCCATTGCTCTCATCCCAAGGGTTGATCCCATACCGCGGTATCTTCATCTTGGACGCGGCAGCTATTTTTCCCACGTCACCACTAACCGAGGGGAAGGACGTGCCTCCATCTCTGCGCTCGTGTTACTCGTAAACAGGGAGACCTTTTTTTTCCCCTCAAAACGCTTGGCGGGGAACAATGCTCGGCTGACTGCGTGCATTGTAACATGTCCTATAGTGCTCTATTTGACACCAGTGCACCACGCACATAAACATACCCACACGTGTCGCGAAACAACACATAAATTGACTTAAACGTGGAGCCTATTATAGTTCAGTGAGAAACCTGCTGCTCGTGAGGGGGATGTAATAAAGTCAGATAAGTAAGGCTTAGCAGCGAGTGCCCGCTGTGTCCTCTGTGATGCCAAACGTAATTGCCTCACAAGCCCTCCCTCAAACCTCAGGGGCTGTGCGACGGCACCTGGATACTGTTCATAATGAGTTCTAGAAAATTACTTTGTTTACTCCTTTTATAAATGTTTTATGTTCCCACTTACATGGTAACGCAGTGACGTGTTTCAGTGGGCAGGTGGAGGCGGATTAGTTCTCGGAAGATGTCAGTTACGGCTGGCTGGTAACATTTGTGGTTTATTTTTACATCGACAAATGGTGTTCGGTTTTACCCACAGTTGAATTTCTTCTCTGCATTTAATGGGCAGCTGCAATTACTCATTACTTTTCAGATCCTACATTCCAAAAACATTTTGGTGGCCCTGCCTTGATTGTCTTGCATTGCACCATTGCATTGCATCCGTGTTCCTACTATTCTATCAAGTCGCAGCAACAGTTTTTTATTTCCATTGAGCATATTTTTTCGTGAGTAATCGTAGGACGGCCCAAACATCCAAAGATATTCAGTGTGCAGTCCTACAATAGATAGAGGGAAGCAGAAAATTCTGATTTGTTTTTAAATAAATAAAGAAGTTGACCCCGTGACTGTGTTTGTCTCTCCCACGCAGCTCTGAAGAGGTCCTTTGAGGTGGAGGATGTCGACACCTCATCGCACTTGTCACCCGGCTCCCGTCGGACAACCAACTCCCCCCACCGCAACACCGCCATGTCCCCCACCAGCATCTACTACCGTGACTTGGGCACCGCCAGCTCCACCGCCGCCACCTCTGCCAACAACAACAACCTCAACTTCTCCCAACCCCGCTCCATCATGGGGGGAGGGGGCTCCAAGACCCCCGAGCCTGTGTCACGGCGCTCCGAACTCTCCATCGACATCTCCTCCTCTTCCTCCTCCAGCAAGCAGGTGGACAACGTCACCAGCCCCGCTTCCGTGCGCTTTGCGGCCAACAGCGCTCTGAAGCGCCCAGAGGTCCTGGGCCACTCCAAGACGCCCGAGACGAGCCACAAGAGGGAGGTCACGTTCGCCAAGGCGTCTTCCGAGTCCCCGGTGATCCGCCGCAACGAGGGCAACTACAACAACAACGGCACCAGCCGGACCGCCGAGCAGAATCACGCTCGCAAGTTGGAGCCTACGGCCCCCGGAGACGTCCGCAAGCCCGACATCAGCATCACCAGAGCTCCCCCAGAAAACAACGGCCACCACCTTCCTGTGCACCACCCGCACCACCCCAATCCTCACCACAACTCCATCGTTACCACCTTCCGCTCCTCCTCGCCCAGTCACGGCCGTAAATCCCCCAACCCTGACAGTAAGTCTGATTCATCATGATACACTGACAACTGAAAACAACTAAAATAACAAAAGTTATGATTTCATTCAGTGTCCACACCTAAACACATTCAGTGTATTCTCCAGGATGAATTAATGCATTGATTGCAATTCCTTCTCATAGAACATGTAAAAAGCATTCTTATCCACCGTTGGTTAAATCGATGTCAATCAATGCTACAGAGTTCTCTTTACGGTCATTCATCAATTTTCCGGAAAGTAACCCTTTTTGTTTAATGAGCGACTATGCCAGAGGCATCGTTTCTGCTGACCTTCAGTGGGCTTCTACCTTGCAGCAGGGATGTGGAAGAAGGATGGAGGAAGATTGAAATAACCAAACATGTGACCTGCTTCTGTCAGTGTTTTTTTGTGTGTGTGTAGACAGCAGCCTAATACATTGAAATACATTAATAGTTTCTGTCCTTGGGTTTATACCAAACAATCCTATACCATAGATTGGTTGATTTGCTTGTATACCTTCTGTGACTTACTGGGACTTTCTGGAATTTCCTCTGGATCTCATCTAAGATCTCGTGATGTTGTTGGCTTGTCTAAAAACGGAAAAGCTTACTATTTTATCATAGCAGTGCTTCTCCGCCTGTATGATTGCTCTACCAGTTTGATGTGGCACTGTCATCAGTGGGGAAGCTGTCTTAAAACTTAAATAAAAAACTCATTACATTTAATTATTTGTGAAGCAAGGAGAAAATTACAATCACTCTCGACTGTAAATTATTCGACATACAAACTCCACATGGGTAAAAAAAATTGGACATTTTCCAGATAAGATTTCATATGGATTTTTTCTTCCCATATGTTCCTGCTCCTTCTCCGCTCACACTGAGGTAACAGACTGACCCCAGTATCAGATCTCTCACTTAGAGAAAGGTCAGTAACAGGAGCAGCCTTGTGATTAGTCCGATGTCTGCATGTCTGTCAGTAACACAAGCGGCCCCGTCCTTGACGGCCTCCCCGTCGGTCGGAACAGCAGACTGCACGTCTGTGTTTGTGGTTGTCCACGTCTGTTCTTGATGCAGCATTGAAAGCATGACCTTGGCAGCACAGGAACAGTAGTGTGGTAGTTAATAGTGAGCAGAGTTAAAGTTGCAGTAAAACCATATGAAACAAAGAAGGGTGGTTTAGAAGCTCGGCGCTGCACTAATATGTGGTGGTTAATGTTACATCTGCTGAAGAAAAAAAACGTCAGACCATTGACATATCAACTCTGTTCTTTTAGTTGACATGGTGAACTGGATACAAAACGGTTGCTTATTTACACATCTGACAGCTGAAGAACACCATGATTGTCCTTTTTGAGTTGTGTTTTTGTCCACCATGCATATCTGAATCCATCATTTCCTCTCTTTTCGCTCCGTTTTTGATGTCCGCCAAGTCCTGAGGGATACTTCTGCCCCCTTAGCTGCTAAATGCTCTGTAAATGTACACTGGGTCTTTCCCTGTAAACAGCTGCCTTGTGTGACAGAAGATGACGCTATGAGAGCGGTTAGAGTGAACCAAAACAGTAAAGATGTAGATGGGGGATTTAGACAATGGGCGGAAATCCAGCTCCCGAGTGGAGCCGATCAGATGGATCCCCGTTCCCGTATCACTATCTACCATCCTGTCAACTACGCAATACAATTACCGCTTGAATAGCTCTCGATCTAATGTAATGATGGTACCTCATGTCTTATTGATTTTGGCTATTCAATACTCCTGTTTTGTTCTCAATACTAACTGTGAGATGAAATGGTGCTTGTTGTTGTGGTCATTACCCACCGTACACTCGCTGTCTCCAGTGTGTCCGTTCGCCGCGCTTCATGTTTCCTTTTATGCTTCTAGGTCAAATAACTCCTAAACATCCGGTCTGTTTCGTGCTGAAGGTTAACCAGGGTTCTCTCCTAGCTCATGGGGGTGGTCCACATTTATTTGTCCACAGAGAGAGGCTCTGGTGGGGCTCTAAATGAAGGGTGACCTGGCACCGGGGGGCCCAGGGGGCTCTGACCGAGCCCACCCTGCTCTGCCCTAACAAAGCCTCAAGACAGCTGAGAAGAAACCAAAAGAACTCTATGGATTGGAAATCATTGCAATATTAAATGTAAAGTATAATATGTCAATCTCAGTTATATGGGAGGAACAAAAATACATTGTTCTCTTGGTATAAGGGGAAAATGAGAATTGGAACTTTTTCACCATTGTTGAAACTTTTAATGAAACTTCTTCAGTGACAGGAATTACAAAATATATAGACGTGTTTTTATTATTTTCCCGTATGGCTGTTGCCTGTGTTTTTGGAAGTATTTTTTCCAGGAGGAAATGACATCACACATCATTTGTGCACATAGATATACACACACACACACACACACACGCACACACACACACACACACACACACACACACACACACACACAAAGGCACACGGAATATCCTGTGCTTCCTTCCGTGTTCCTTTAGCGTGATTGTTTCCCCTGCTGAGTGACCTCACCGCGGCGTGCTTCCTCTCTCAGGGGTCAGCTGATCTAAGTCGGTCCGCTTCCTGGCAAATATCATCCGTGTACTTTGATCACAGCGAGCGAGTTACATAGTGGGTGTTTATGCAAAGGGTCAACATGAAAAGGATTGTGGGCGCACACAAACAGGCTGTAGAGCGACGTGCGTTTGTTGTAAGATACATCAAATCGTGTAGTTTGTCGTCCTTGATCAGCGGAGGAAACAGACACACAACAGCAATTATTGGATTAGAAGATAAAATTCATCGACTAATTCTTTTTTCACTTTTATGATGTTTTTAGAATTCTTCTATTCAACCATTGTTTGGAAGGCAAACGACATTTGACAAATAACAATTAATTCATTAATTTCCTGAAACGTCGACTGTTAATGATTCATTCTGAGCAAATTGACACTCAGTCCACTTTGTTTGTACAAAGAATTGTCCAGAATTTTCCTCTTTGCATTGGGTAAAGTTAAGCCATGAACAGCTTCACGCTGTGGGAGACGCACATACCGAATCTATCTGTCATGGACTCATTCTGAGGGTGTCTGTTCTGCTCTGCTGGGCTCAGCAGCTGTGTTCTGCTGCTCATCGATCCATCAAACACCACAGAAAGAACTCTATGTGATATCTAAGCGCACACCAACTACGGTCAGAAATAGGCTTTTCTTATCACTTCTCAGACCAGATTTCACGTTTGAAAATCTGTGATTGATCTTTTCTTTGGATCTCCATGTGTAGGAGATCTGCTGTTAGGGTGGAGATGAATACAATGCTGCAACATCCTTTCCATTATTTATTATACTGCTGCTTGTTCTCTTGATCGATTACTTTGTCTATAAAAGTACACAGTGATGCTGGATGCTGGAACCAAGAGGATATTTGACATTAAAACCATAATTTAAATCTCTGAATAGTTTTCACTTATAATTCAAGTCTCGTTTGATATAAGACATTGAAAAAATGTGCAGGCACTGATTGTATTTGACATTGTAAAGACAAATTCTTTCTTTTGATTGACTTCTCTTCCTGTCACTAGACTCAACAGACAGAGCGCTTGAACATGGATGGTCTCGCTGTCATTGTGCTGATGGAAATGGAGGGTTTCAGTTGGGGTCACATAACCTCATTTAGAAACTTCTTCAGTTTTCTTATGGGGAAGGTAGAAATGTCCACCTCAGCTGGATTACTGTTACAGCACTAAAGAAAAGAGAAGGGAAGTCAAGGCCGAGACACGTTCTGCAATAAAGAAGAAATGTGCATTTACAGCGATTCACTTGCTATGTGCACCATGTTCCAGGTCTGATGGTAAATCTCAATCTCAGTAAAGCCAGAATATGCCGGCTGAACTGGAATATTTCCTAATATTGCTTGAATATCTAGATTATCACATTATTTTTCCCGAGGTGTGGTCGAAAGTGAAGCCAATCGTCCTTTCCTTGGTCTGACCTTCTGAAGGTGGAGAGGTGGAGACAGTGGAGGGCGTTGGGTGATTTGTCTCACCTGTCCCATAGGTTAGCAAAGGGCACACACACACACACACTTTCTTCATCTCAAAGTTTTTATCATAGTTTGGTTATCTCTGTCACACCTAAACGCACACACATACACACACATACACACACATATACATGCACACAGGCAGACTTGGGCGAAGGCAAATCCGAGGTCAATCCTCTCACTGTGTAATTACTCCGACTGATCCCAGACCATTACTCAGCGTGACCTGTCGGCCAATTACCCCAAAAATAAAAGGTGGCAAAGAAGCTAAGAGAAGGAAAGACAGACTTATTGTGATGGGGAACTGCTGCTGACTGAGAATAATGCGGCTGCAGTGGTCTCACAATACGTGGTCTCCCTTCTAGAGATCAATTCAATCAAGTGTAATCAACAGCAAACTTTGGATCACTCTCTATTATGGCTGCTGGGTCAATCTTGATATCTTATTCCCTTTCTGTGGGATCATATTCTGAGGATACAGTCGGATCACGTTACACGTTACATGGCGAGCTAAGATGTTTGACGGAGGCGAACAGATTAGGCGATAATCAATGATTTCAGTCACAAACGCATGGGACAAATATACATTTGAAAAAGCCAGCAGTGATATCCTTCTTTAGAAATCATGATCAGGTTACTTTATAATCCACCTTGTTCCTCGTTTTGAGAAATGACTCAAAAAACTATTTTATTTTAGCCGTAGTTCCTGCATGAAACTGGCCACTGCTGCACAGATTGTCCAAAAAGAGAACAACCTGGATCAATAAATAGCACTGCAGTGTAGAAGGAAAATATGTTGCCAACACCATGTTTTTTCTGTGACTTTTTCCTTTTTTTCTTTGCCCTAATGTGCTGCCATTATATTGTATCCCCGAGGGAGTCTTAGACTAAGCGGCCTGAAAGCGCTCCGTTCTCTCTGGAAGTCTGTGAGCCTCCACACTGTCACATCCGTCTGCTCCGCTCAGCGATGTCCCACGGTGATA